ATACAGTAGAGCGTCGATTTTCCGAAAGTCAATCATCCGAAACGTCAATCATCCGAAAGAATTCCAGTCGGCAAATTTAAATTTTCGCCAGTGCTGTGGCGCTTCAATCTTTGTCTATGTCTTGGGCTACTCAAATATTTTACGTTTTTGATACTAAATTAACATCTGAAGTATAATTTTTTATTGTTTTTATATTTTTCAATATATTTATTTTGTTTGTACAAAATAAAAAAATAATTTTTAACGATACAATAGTCTTTGTTAGGCTTAACATTGACGAAAATTCAACGCGAAGCGACACGCAACAGATAAAAATTTCAACATCGGATACGTTAAACTATTTTTTCGTACATAAATCGGTTATCCGAAATATCAGTTATACGAACAACCCCAGTCCCCAATTGATTCGGAAAATCGACGCTCTACTGTGCTATTTAGCCAATATTTTTGTGTTATATTGTGCTTGGAAATAGCAAAAAGCTATTTTAGTCTGCATTCTACTTTATTGCATTTCTGCCATTATATTCACTTCACATATTTTACACCTAGATAGTCTCAGTAGAGATAAAGTTATTAAGAGATATAGTTTCCATTTGAAAATAATAATAGAAATGTTAAAATTATCAGGAGGCTAATTAATAGTTCATTCTTTATTAATAGTATCAATCATTTGAATATGTCAATCACGTTTAATATTTTGAAGTAATAATTTAAATTATATCTTTACAGATAATGGAAACTTTCACTCCGAAAAAGAACGAGCCACCGAGAATTCCACAACAGATCTAACGTTCCATGCCGCATAGACACTAAAGTGCGAAATGTCATCCAAAACTGTACAGTCCTTTATTAATATATAATCGATTCATTCGTACAAACTGATATATGTATATTTAGAATCCAAAATGTTGACAAATAAAACAGTTTTATAAAATCTTAAATTGATGTTAAGGATCGAACATGCAAATTAATAACTGTAAATAAGTAAATCTGCACAATAAAATTTTATTTTCGGGTATAAAAATATACATCTCGAGTATAAAAATAATGTAAAACAATCTATACCGGAATAAATTCAGTATGCTTGTTTCAAATATTTTTTTTTTTTGTAATTTAGAAAAATTGTTACACACACAGCTTTGAAAATTTGGCAGCAATCTCAATATCTGAAGATAAGATTTTTAATTCAAAATATCACAATGAATTTAAAATTCATCAAAATTGCATTTTTTTTATTTACATGTACAGTACATTGTGAGTGTATGTGCTATTAAAACTTGAATTTCATTTTGTAAAGTGACAGTTTCTTGAAATTTCAAACCTTATCCACATTTGATATGGCTTGGAGACAGTTTATGATATAGTTCATTTCTATAAAAAAGGATTTTGTAAATGCACACAAAAAAATAGATAAATGTAACCGAGAAGATATGAGAAATATTGAACAACTGATCACAACTGGATGCTTATACCGTAAACAATGATATATTGCAATGAAGAAAAATACAAATTATCACATTACTTTCCGAGGACAGTGAACACTTCGTAATCTAACACCGTAAAATTATAATCTCCCATCAGCAGAGTCGAAGATGCTTTTTCACCGTCGTAGGAATGCGGAAGATTGGAATAACTTTCTAGGTTGGCATTGCAGTTATTAGCGATACACAGGTCCGCTCCAGCACCAAAAATGGGACCATATTCTGGATGGTGGGCAATGGCAAATATCTTCTTGACCACGTCGAATTTGGTCGGTGGGACGTCTACATTATTTACGAGAGTAAACAGGAATGCTTTCTCAGATGGCACGTATCGCCACCTGCCGCCGGTTTTGCCCCATGGCACATCGCTGAAACCCCCACACAGTTCGCCTCTGGTGCCGAGTGCAATGACGAAGGTGGGACCATGGCCATCGCAGTGATGGTGGAAGGAGTCGGCTGAGTAGCCATGAGTGGATGCACGATACAACAGATGCCACATTTGCTTGGGAACACCATACCAAGCATTCAAGATTCTTTGAAAATGTAATTTATCGCCAGTCAAAAGCTGCGATCCCTGAAACAATTTTAGTGATGTGCGGGGTTGGATTCTTTTATCTTCAGTGTGAGAAAACTTACTGGGAAGAGCCGCAAAACGGTACCTCTCTAATGACAATTCCATGGGAACCGCACCAGTCGGTTCCACTTCTTCTGCAAACACCTGACTGTCAATCAACAACAGTCGTACGTGATTAATGACACCAGAAAGTTGCTGACTCACTCTTGCTCTTTCTTCTTCGGTCCAATGTGCCGTGGGTTGAGTCACACCCGCCTGATGTTTGGCCCACGACAGAACGGCTCTCCAGACGTCTTCTTCTTCCATGGCCAAGAAATCGGAAGAAATCAAATGAATCAGGGCCTCTTTTGGCAGATTGAGAAAAGCGGTCGTCCTGACGCACTCCATGCAGTTCTCACCTATAAATGCGGTACACCTGTCTACAAACGAGTGGGCGCCTTTATTTCCAGGAACTCTGTGTTCCAAATCGAGTGCAGCGGCCAAGAACGTACAGGCATTATGTATGGACAGAGTGCTATTGGTGTGATCCTCACAGCTGAGTCGCAACTCCTCAATGCCTAATTCTTGAGCAATGGCCAGTGTCTCAAACACTGTACTGTCCTGAAGAACGATCTTTCCTGTATACACATAAAACATAACGTCGCGGAACACTTCTGGCTTGGCGTGTGGCAACCTGATGGGTGTGGGATTACCGGGAGGTGCCGGAGACACTGTGGAACCTGGAACCTTACAAATTTCTCCCCTCTTGACGTTTTGAAAGCTGGTACATCTCATTCTCAGCACGAGTCTGTGGGCGTAAACAGGTAACTCGTCTCTACCCACGATGAAAACTATGTCGGCAGAATCTCGATCTTCGGCCAATCTCTGGAGATCTTCCAAGAGGCGTGGTACACCTGCAAGGGTTTTATCGGCGAAGTGGATGGTCGTCGGCGTCATTCTAGCTCCCATGTTAACCAACGACGAATTATATCACTTAACACCACATTCGAGAACCCAGAAAGGTCCCTTCACTTCCTTTCCGGCTTAAAATCGCTCCTCAAGTAACACATTTCTCCACAAACAATCAATTCGAAACAAAAACTATCACCAAAACACATCAATAACAATAAACACTCAAACTCGAACTTTCCATCTATTCACTGCGGTCTATGCCAAGAGTTTATTGGCCTCTTCGCGGAATTAAAATTAAAATCCAATATCAAATTGTCCGTTAAATTAAATAAATAAGAATTTATAAAATTATATTTAAAAATTTATTTAATGTATTCAGAAAAATTTCTCGAAGAAGTAAGACCACGTTTGGATTTTTAACCAATCGCACTCCTTCCGACCATTTAGTGCGGGATGATTGTTTATCAGTTGTCATAAGACGACAAAATGGATGCTGCTAAATTATCGGAGGAAAAGTTAAGGGAAGCTTCGTGCTTCGGAGACGAAGAAGCCGTTAGAAAATTAATCGAAAGAGGTGTTAATATTAACGCTCAGCACGAAATTAACGGTTGGTAAGTATTTGGCTAAGATAATAATTAACATTTGTGCGTTAATTATTGACGAAACACCTTCACCAATTCAATCACTCATCAATTTGATTGTTTAATGAACTAAATAAACACCTTAATCTCAATAATGCCCTTTTATATCTCTTACTATTATTAAAGATGTTATTCAGGTTATTAAACCTCGATAAATCAATGCTTTGTTTATTCAATGTCATTTTAATTAAGTAGAAGTTGCTTTTAGCCAAGTCATGCTTATATAAATATATGAAATTGATCTAATAGTAACTTCTAACGTCCCCCCTTTCCATACGAATTTCGGTATTTTCTGTATTCTGCACATTCTCACACACATTGACAGTTGCAATTCATAAAATCAGCTGTTTGTAGGTCGTAAATTATTGTAAGGTTGAGTTAAATTTTTTTCCATAATGCCCCTAAAATGACTCGTCATGTGTTATGTCTGATCCGTTATTCTCCAGATTTATCGCCAAGATTACTCCGGGATGTTGGTGTGGTTGCCTGTGTGATTTTAAAGCGATGTCATATAACAACTTCGTTAATTAGTTAGTTAAATTTGCATTTATTTGTTTTGTGTGCTCGAATCCTTTGCTTTTTGTATATGACGTGTATAAAATTTTATTCCAAAATAGATGACAAATTAACAAAAAATATTACTTTATTTGGAGTTAAAAAACATGTACTGGTAGTCCCTAATGTTTTTTAAACATTAACTGGTTTCTTGGGGGCCGTGCGGCCCCCACACGTCATATTTTTACGATTTTCTAAAATTCTAAATATCGTGCGCAGCTGCCATTTTATGTAATCTCATTACGTCGCGACTCTTAGCAAGTGCCAAATGTTCGGCCCTGTAGCACTTACAAGGATGGAGCTACGTACCTTCTGGGGGCCGCACAGCCCCCACGATACCAGTTACGTTGGTTTTTTGTGGAAATGTGTTTTTATGTTTTTTTTAATTTTTACAATTATTTTGCAAAGATATCTCAATCTTGCATCAAAAATTCAAAATGACTACCAAAGAATCATTTGAACTGCTAATAGATGATAATTTTATACAAATTGCTAGATCAAGCCGAAATCTCCTGAAAAGAGTATGTTGTCATTTTGTGCTGGAAAAAAAGATGGTAAATATGCTACTAAGTGCAACAGTTGTTTGAAATTTATTTGCAAAGTGCATAGTACACAAAAATACTATGTGATAACTCTCAAGACTGAACTACATAATCGCATTAAAATGTTCCTGAGTCTTAAAAATAGAAGTGATTATATTACCTGTGGTTTTTTAACAAATGATAGTTAGAGGCTATAAGAGATACTTTTTTATAAGATTAGTTTCTTAAGAATAAGAAAAAAAAACTATCTTTGGTAAAAACTTACAATAGGGTAGATTTTTGTATTGTTAAAAAAAGCATACACCCAAAGTTGTAACAATTTTGTGATCTCTTGTAATAATTAAGTAAAGAAAAATATATAAATAAATAAAAGTTGATTATACTAAAGAAGGGTTCCATTTAGCATTTATTCACTTTTGAACTGTCACATTGTTAAACTTGCTCTCTAAAGGCAAATTTTGCTTGGGGGCCGCGCAGCCCCCATGATGCCAGTTACGTTTGAAAAATTTACGATACCAGTTAAGGGTTAACTTTCCTCATTTTGAAGAATTTTTTACAATTTTTTTTTTCTATTCTTCTTTGAGTGTCTGAAGATGAACATAAACTTTGACACTTTCCACTTCAAATAAAACATATTCTTTTTAGTTTGTTTACATATGATGCATTCTTCGACTATTACCGAAACCCGAATAAGTAATAGAGAGGTTGAGGCGCACATTTTAAACGTGTAAACGTGTACGTGTGACGTTCGGCGCCGCTTTCCCGTAAGCCTAAAAGTTTGACGATGGTGTTTGGAATGTCGAGCGTGATTCCACCGACTATCCAAACACCATTGTCAAACTTTTAGNGTTGAGGCGCACGTTTTAAACGTGTAAACGTGTACATGTGACGTTCGGCGCCGCTTTCCCGTAAGCCTAAAAGTTTGACGATGGTGTTTGGAATGTCGAGCGTGATTCCACCGACTATCCAAACACCATTGTCAAACTTTTAGGCTTACGGGAAAGCGGCGCCGAACGTCACATGTACACGTTTACACGTTTAAAACGTGAGCCTCAACCTCTCTAATATTTAACTAGGTACAGAAAAACATGGCTGTAACATATAGGTATGGTGGTGTGAGGAAACAAAAGCAATATAAGATAACATTATCTGAAAGATTGTTTAACTCTCTTAATCTTTTAAAAGAGGAGAATATTTACAAAAAATTGACAATATTTGGTGACCATTTATATTTTAATTTATTAATAATTTATCGATAAAAATGTGTTGCAAAGTACCTGTACATTAGTATTATGTGAATAAACTTAAAACAGAAAAATTATGTATTTAAATTCTGTTGTAAGAGATTTATTTCTAACTAGAAATTCTCTCCTCAAGCATAACAGAATATTTTTTATGAGAAAGTAGAGATTGAAGAATTGAGAAGAGCTTTGTTTGAGCTTGACAATGTGATGTTGTTTCTGCAGACCTGGGGCCATATTCTGGTCACTGTCTTTGTTCTCTCCTCTCTCACAAGCTGGTCGCTGATTGGCTAATCATTTGGATTAGCCAATCAGCGACCGGCTTGCGAGAGATGAGAGACCAGAGACAGTGACCAGAATACGGCCCCTGGACAAAGCCGTTCTTACTTGGTGTTGATCAAGTTGAACTTTACAGCCTATGGAGGTCTTGATTGTTGTTATTCTTTTAGATCTAGAATTTACCTGAACAATCTTACTCTTACACTTTCCCTAGTCATTTTTCTTTTTTGACAAAATAGCGAGTTATTTTAATTCCATGTTGATAATTTAGTCCACAGCTGAATTGTACATATGTTTATTAAATGAGCAATAACACTTTCTAAATAATGGGCTCACTAGATCATTACTTCTGATTGGATAAATAGAATGTCACGTGGTCACTATGGAAAAATTAAAAAAAAAAATTTGTTATAGAAGTGACTCAATGTGCCTATCGTTTTTAAAGTTTAAATTTAATGAAATTTAAAGTATGCCATTTGCCAAAATATTTAAAAATGCAACTTAAGAGAGATTCCCTTGTCAAGCATGAACGTACGTGGTCACTGATGTCACTGCAACATAAGTGCTATCACCAATCTGAAATCGATAAAACATTTATTATGTAGCTAATATTTCTGCAAAATAAGTGGCCTATACTTTCTGTCAGAACATAAAATGAATATAACCAAAATTTCATCTGAATTGGACAAAAATTGCAGGGGTTATAAGAAATTCACACACAGATGATGGCTTTTATATTAGTAATACTGTATTGCAATGCAAAATTTGATGTACTGAAATGACTATTTCTTCATAAGTTATGTTTGGATTAATTGATTACAATGACATTTGGTATATGTCATTAGATGATGATAATAGACAAAATTTTACATATCTTTTTATCTACTCTAAATAATTCAAAAGATTTTTAAAAAGATTACACTGGCATATAATTCTGCCCTGCACCACCTTGCATATAATTCTGCCCTGCAAAACTAATCTCCAATTAACCTGCGTCAGATGATTGCTGACATCACGATGACCTGATATGGCACATGAAGGAAGGATATAAACTTGAAAATGTGGTGAATGCAAAATACTAATTATAAATTTCTACTATGTGAGCATAAAATTGCTCACATATCTCAAAAGATTGAGAGTTAAACATCTTGCATGTAATGTTATCTTATATTGCAGAGTCACATTTATAAAAGTTTGTTTGTGGGGAATATTATATTATTGTTTGTGGGAAAATTTATATATTACAGTAATACCTTGACTTATGCTACCCCGACTTACGCGAACCTGGAGTTACGCGATTTTCAGATCTGGTCGATTCGTCTTTTGTTTGAGCATCACGCAACTTTTGATTACTCCCCCCCCACACTATTGTTCAGCTTACATGTTTGGACGTGTTGTGCAGAATCAACACATAACTACAATTTATTTTGTGTTATTTATTTCTGTGTTTGTTATATCTATGGAGACTTGAGAGACTCTGTCAGCCAATTGCAGAGACAGAGTTTACGTTAAATGACATTTATCAACAGAACGGCTTATAGATGTTCGCTGGCTGAACCGCGGTTTAAAATTCATTGCAAAGACGACGATTGTCTATTTCTGACTGTTCTCTAAACGAACTTCGGCAAAACNCAAAAAAATATACGTATTTTGGAAATGTTGAGTCGAATTAGTCTAGAATCGATTAATTTTATGAAAGAAAACCTTTCAAACAGCCGTAGTCCGTAAACTATGATTCCTACAAAATTGATTCATAAAGAACGGAACGTATCTACCGTCTTATAGGGGGATCTACTGTATTAGTCTACTATTATATGTCAAAATATAATTTTGACCACATGTCATTTGCAAAATTAATCATTTTACATAATTTATGTCCATAGGCAAATAATCCTCACATACAAAAGTTGTTTTAATACTACACTATAATTGAAAGTGTTTGTTTATTTCCAACAATTACCAATCTTCTTGTAGGCTTTGTTCACAACACACACTTATAATTAACATTTGATAACATCTATCAAATGAGGATTTTGAGACAACCATAGAAAAGAGAAATCATGTTAATCTAACAGATTTTTCAACACCAATGACAAATTATGTATAATTGTCCATTATTGAACACAATTTGTAGACTGTTTTATGCTATTTTAACGTAACTTTTATCATCTAATTTCAAAAGTCTAATCCAAAATAAAAATATTGCTTTTATTATTATTATCAATATTATAGAAACACCAAACTCCAAACGTGGCATGTAAACTGGAATTTTACTATAAAGCATTAAAATTTTTTGAAGATATAGAGCAAGAATGATTTCCATTTTATGATAATAAGTACAGTAATACCTCGA